AAAAAGAACATGGACTTTATATCTAGATAGGCCTGGAGTCAACTACTGGGTCTGTCACTAAACTATGTAGTCTTGGACAAGTCACTTAGCTTCTTTGATCTTTGCTTGATTCCTTGATTTTTAAAATGAGGGTAGTAATATCTACCTTGCAGAGCTGTTAGGGATAAATGATGCACTGTGGGTGCCCACTTCCCAGGTGGGTGTTCAATACATGGTGGTTGTTATTCTGGATATCACTGTGGACTTCTAGCTATTTTCCAAAGAGAGTATCTATGCTGGAATGTTAGGCTTGTGGCTTTCTGCCGACGTGTATGTGTAAAGAAGTTACTGTACTTCCACTTGTTAATAATTGTGGTGCAGGTCAATATTTTCATTTCCCAGTTCTACTGCATATTTGCTTTGTGATTTTGGATAAATTGCTTAATTTTTCTGTGCCTCATTTACCTAATTTGTAAAATGTGGCTAATAATAGTACAGTAGTCCCCTTTATTTGTGGGGTATGTGTTCTAAGAACCCCAGTAGATGCCTGAAACTTCGGATAGTACTGAACCCTATATATATGTTTTTCCTATACATATATACCTATGATAAAGTTTAATTTATAAATTAGGGATAGTAAGAGATTAACAACAGTAACTAATAATAAAATAGAAAAATCATAAAAATATACTGTAATAAAAGTTATGTGAAGGCGGTGTATCTCTCTCTATCAGAATATTTTAATATTTTTGGACCGCGATTAGTACGTAACTGAAACTGTGAATAATTTGGGGGAGCTACTGTACATTAGAATTCGTGTATGTTACTTCCCTGCTCTGTCCACTAGAGGGCCGAGGAGCACTAGCGCCTACTAGCAACAGGCACTTCTGGTGCCCATGGATTGTAAACATCATTCTCCCATGAAAGGAACCAGGGCTCCCTGGAGAAATGGCTGATTCCAGGGCTGGGGCAGGAGAGCACAAGGAGCATCTTGTGGTGCTGGGAAGTAAGGAGCTGCTCGAAAAATGATGGAGACATTTTGTTCTTTCTGCAGCCCTACGTGAACTACACAAGCCAATTAGAAGGAGCTCCCAATGGCCAATTTTGGTACAATACAAGCAACATAATAACGATGGTAATGGATTCTAACTCATAAATGTCCATGAGTCCATACTGATATAAATAAATAATGGAATAAATAAATAAGAGAGAAGAAACAGCTCTTTCTTATAGTAGAATTCCAATTAGTAAATGTAGAAGAATGATGGAAATAGAAAATCATTATTTGGCTAATACCACAGTAATAATTGTTTGTGGGCAGGAATCATCAGTAGATTCTAAAAATTAATGGTTAAAAGTCTGATGAGGCCGGGCACGGTGCCTCACGCCTGTAATCCTAGCACTCTGGGAGGCCAAGGCAGGCGTATTGCTCAAGGTCAGGAGTTCGAAACCAGCCTGAGCAAGAGTGAGACCCTGTCTCTACTAAAAATAGAAAGAAATTAATTGGACAACTAAAAATATATATACAAAAAATTAGCCAGGCATGGTGGCGCATGCCTGTAGTCCCAGCTACTTGGGAGGCTGAGGCAGGAGGATTGCTTGAGCCTAGGAGTTTGAAGTTGCTGTGAGCTAGGCTGATGCCACAGCCCTCACTCTAGCCTGGGCAACAAAGGGAGACTCTGTCTCAAAAAAAAAAAAAAAAAAAAGTCTGATGAGAAGAAACAGGCTATTTGCATAGTCCCAAAGTATCTCCCCATAAGGTACTTATTAATGACAATGGGACAAAGAGTAACTTTACAGAAGAGAAACCTGGCAGACAGCACCTTAACCAAGTGCTTACAGTTAACACCACCAGTAATGAAAGATATCAACATCCTAGGCCTCTCAATGTGATGTATTTTTTTTTTTTTTTTTGAGACAGAGTCTTACTCTGTTACCTGGGCTAGAGTACCGTGGCGTCAGCCTAGCTCACAGCAACCTCAAACTCCCGGGCTCAAGCGATCCTACTGCCTCAGCCTCTTAAGAAACTGGGACTACAGGCATGTGCCACTATGCCTGGCTAATTTTTTCTATAATTTTAGTTGGCCAATGAATTTCCAATGTAATGTATTGAGAACATGTTGCTTCTCTTGTATTCTTCCCCAAAATATATAACCTGAACTTAATTATGAGAAAACATCAGGAAAACACAAATTGAGGGGCCTCTTACAAAACAGCTGACCAGAACTCTTCAAAAGTCTCAAGGCCATGAAAGACAAGGAAAGACTGAGAAACTACCCTCGATTGCAGGAGACCTAGGAGTCGTGACAATGTTATCAGTGTGGGATCCTGGAATGGCCTCTGGGCTGGAAAAAGGGTATTAGTGGAAGTCTGAAAAATAATTAAAAAAATTTTTAAAAATGCATTAGATTTCTGTGAGGAAAAAAAATGATCCGCAAAGTACCTAGAACAATGCCTGAGACATAGGAGTTCTTAGCACTTTACCTATTGTTATATGTAATTTTATAATTAATAAGTAATTATTATAAGTAATTTATTTCTTAATATCTTCATATATTCTCACCTATTTCTTTTTTTCCTATCCTCTGTGCAAAACATGTTGAGCATGTATGTGGTTATGTTAAGAGATAAAATAAGATTAAGTTCTATGTTGAGTATTATTTAGGGGTCTAGGGTGTGTCGTTTCCTCTAGCCACTAATTAGCTCAGACTTAGGCCCACATTGTAAAACTTTGCCTGGCTGGGGGACAAGGCTTGAGCCCAGCCACCAACCATCTGATGAGGTTTGTGATCACACTGCCTGGTCACACCGTGAGCTTTCCCCAGTTCTGTGGCCTGTGCTTTAGGAGCTACTTTAGAAGTTCCATTCAGTGCATCTACTGAACTCTTTCTAGGTCACGTTAGAGATCATTTAATCTTCACAAGTCTGTGTGAGAAGCGGTATTTTATTCATTTAAGATGATAAAACTGAGGCTCAAAAAGTGAAGCGACTTGTCCAGGGTTGCAAGGTGAGTGGCAGAGGGGTGGGGGGGGGGGAAAGGTGAGTGGTAGAGCCAGGATTTGGATCTAGGTCCCCCTGATTTGAAGGCTGAGTCTAAGTGTCCAGGTGTGTCTAAATGTGTAGTCAGGTTGGAGAACTATTGGTATAGGGCCGTGGGTCTCAACTGGGGGTGGCTCCCTGCCAGGGAGTGTCACCCCCAGGCAATGTCTGGACATATTATTGGCTTTCATAACAGGGTGGGGATGGGGAAGGGGAAGGCTGCTATTGGCATCTAGTGGATAGAGGACACTTGGATGCTGCTAAACACCTCACAGTGCACAGAGCAGCTCCCACAGTGAAGAATTTCAGCCCCAATGTCAATAGAGCTGCTATCAAACCCTGGTATAGTCTCAAAAGGGCAACATTTTGAACTTAAAAACCTGAGGATGTTTTCTTTCACTTAGTTAATATTTGCTGAGTACTGTGCTCGATAGTGTGAGGATTATGGAAACACTATACCAGTATGTGCCACCAAGGAAGTTGCAGTCTGGAAGGGCAGGGCTGGAGGTAGGAGGAGCCTCCAGGAACAACTCCAGTATAAGGCAGAAGGTGATTAGTGCAAGAAGAGAGTTGGGGTTGGGGTGCTAAACCTGGTGGGGGTGGTGGTGATTGAATCTGGTTGTGGGAGGGATTGAGGGAAGTTGGGGGAGGAGGTGGCTTTTGAGCTGGGTAGATGAGCAAAAAGTTGACCTGTTCAGGGAAGAGCAAATGGTCTAGTTTGAATGCAGCATGGAGTATTTGTTAGTGAGTGGAGAGGGAAGCGCTGGAGAGGCAGACAGGGGTGAGAGCTTTGAATCCAGGCTGAGGACTCCAGCCTCAGTGTCTATCCTAGTGATGGAAAAGCCTTTCCTTCCAGAATGGTGGGCCAGGCCCTGGGGCCATGGGGCTCAGCAGCTTCCAGAGAGCTCTTTCTACAAAGGAAGGGAACTTTGGAACTGGAGTGGAGTAGGGTGAACTCCTGATTTTAGGACCAAGTTGATGCTGTGAGCTAGGCTGACGCCACGGCACTCTACTCAGGGCAATAGCGTTAGACTCTGTCTCAAACAAACAAAAAACCATAAAATAAAAACAACAATAGCAACAAAAAAGAACATGGACTTTATATCTAGATAGGCCTGGAGTCAACTACTGGCTCTATCACTAAACTGTGTAGTCTTGGACAAGTCACTTAGCTTCTTTGATCTTTGCTTAATTCCTTGATTTTTAAAATGAGGATGGTAATATCTACCTTGCAGAGTTGTTAGGGATAAATGAGGCACTGTGAGTGCCCAGTTCCCAGGCGGTGCTGAGCTGTTTCATCTCAAAGTAGCCCTTAGGAGATGGTGTTACCAGGTAGAAATATACATGGCATGAGCTCTCTTCTGCGTGGTTGTTCTGCAAATGGCTGGGCTACTTTGGCTGTAGTGAAAACTAGAGCAGATTTGGACCCTTAACCAAAGTTCTGCTTCCCAAAAGGTGAGCTCTTCCAACAGGGCTTGGTATGGCTAAGGCTGCGAACATGGACACTACCCGGTGATAGGATTTTTCTGGTTTATTATATTACCATTAAATACCACTAGAAAGTGTTGGTGGCATGTCCAGTGTGCTGTAAAGAACATCAACAAGGACTTCCTTGTCTTCTATAAATGTACAGTTGCCTACAACACCCTCTTACCGCCACCTCCAAGTTTGGTACTGGGAAAATACAGCCCCCTTCCACTAAAGGGTTGGGGGAGAAGGCAAGGGAGAAAACCTGTGTTGATCTAGTATTTACCTATATATACATATTTTGCCAGCTACAGATGCAGACACTTTCACACACAATATCTCATTTAACCCTCACATCACCTTTTGGGTGTAAGCACAGTTTGCTCCTTTTGGTAAATGACACTGAGAAAGGCTCACATATCCCAAATCCCTGTAGCTACATTTTAATACAGGTGTGGCCTTTTTGCCATGTTTATCCTCCCTTTTCCCCTTCATAGACAATTAATCTTATTTACCTGGATTCGGGCTGCTAGAGACCCTCGACATCAGCATTAGTGGCAGCAACAGAAGGAGGGAATAGACTAGAACTTTCATTGCGACTGTCAGTGCTGCGGTGAGTAGCTGGAAGAGTGGATGGAGGTTCCCAGGTCTGATCAGGGTCCTGATCTCTCGGGATGGTTCAGGGCAGGTACTCAGCCTGCCGGTCGGTCTGCACGTAGTCCCAGGCCAGTCTTCCCATTAGAGGGCAAGAACAGGTGAGGTGACGCTGGTCTTGCTGTTAGGTAACAGATCAGACCATGTGTGTTACGGGAAATCTGGGAGGTAAAACTAGTCAAACAAAAGAAGTGCAGCACTCTTAGGAACATAAGAAGGTGACTGATAACTTGGCAGCAGTGCTCGTTCCCTCCTGTGCTCCTGCCCGCCTCCCCGCTCCCGGTGTGTTATTTCTTCCTCAAGTCTTTTTTTCTCGTTTTTGTTTCCTTATACCTTGCAGTGATTCTCTTTAGCCGAATATTTGTCAGGAAAGTGGGTGCTAAGTGTTGGCAGAAGAGAGGATGACGTGGTCTGTGTCCCCTCTGCCCTCCGCTCCCATCCTGGGCACAATATTGGCGATATAGTGTCGTTGCCTGGGAAGTTGCCCCGTCCTCGCTCTGTTCACGGTTCCCTCCAATTCTGTAGCCACGTGAGGTGGCAGCAGAGCAGGATCCAGGAGAAGATGGAACTTCTCTTGCCCAAGACACTTCCCCTGGAGCAGCGGGTTCAGTCAGGCCTCCTCTTCCATCTGTCGGGGAGGTGCCCGAGGCTTGGCTGCTCCAGTCCAAAGGAGAGGGAACTGGGTTGCAGAAGACGCCCCAGAGCTTCAGGTCCAAGAGGGTTTGAGAAACAGGAGCCACTTTAGAGAAGGAGCCCTAAAGTGTGTTTGCCCAGCTGCTGGGGCTCCTGGCTCCAGACCTAGTTTGGAAACAGCCCCAGGCAAAAGAAGAAAGGTAATAATACCTATAGTAAATGTTAAGGGTTATGGGAAAACTTGCTGTCTATTCCAGAGATAAAAGGAAATGTGCTCAGAGAGAGAGGAGAGGCTGGGCTTGAATGCTGGGTGATATTTGTGGGGGCTGAAGGGAAGGTTCACAGGAAGCCTCCCTGGAAGCCTCCAGGCGGAAGTGAGAGCAGGTGGGATGACTTTGTTTCCACTAAGAGGAGGGAAGAGCCAAGGCATGAGTCATCCCCCTTTTGATGTTTGTTTGATCATTCTTTCTCTCTCAGTTTTCAAATCATCCCAGCCTGTTGGCACATTGGAGAGTTGATTGTAGCTTTGCTACCACAGAGTTTATAAAGCACCCGCAGGTGCCAGGCACTCTCCTGGGCAGTGGAGACTGTCCTCGAGTTCAAGGCTCAGGCTTGGCCTGGGCTTGGTTTGGTATAAACCACAGGTATGGATTCTTTCTGGAAAATTCTACAAATGGTCTTCAGGAGTCTCAAGTCTAGCCACAGAGATGAATATACTTCATAGAGCCTAGAGATTCAAGTGCAGTCAAGTTTCAGAAGTGGCAGGAGTTCCCTGGGGACCAAGTGGGACTCGGGCTTGGGGCTTGGGTGGAACTTGAGCTGGTCTCACAGGAGGGTCAGGGCTGCGTTGGTGGACAGCAGAGAAGGGCACATCGTAGCACAGGGACTCTCTGGAGCTTACTGGTTGGGAGTCTTTGAGGGCAGAGGCTGTTTGTTGTTTGGTTTTGTATTTCCTGAACTTTGCAGGGCCTGGCACTTTGGGAGTACTCTATAAATGTTTGTTGAATTGAGTGATAGTTTTGTGACCCCTTAACCAGATCTAATATATTAGAAAGTGTGTGAAAGTGCACCCCATTAACAGCAAGAAAATCTTACCCAGAATGCTGCTGTTGGGCCCGTCACTCTGTTTACCCCGCTGTTCTCCCAGGCCCTGGCTCCCTTCACTCCGTCTGGTTCTTCTCCATGGATGTGGGGTGGGGGTGGCATCCTGTGGGTCCCTCAGGTCTGTTGATATAAAACACCTAGGAGACTAATGGACTTTTCTCTTGTTAATATTGACAACTTCTTATGACTTATCTCAAGAACACGCTTTATCTCTCTGAGGTGCGAAGCGTTCCCCCAGGCAGGGAGTGAGGGGAAGGTAGGGAGAAAACGCCATTCTCCTTGGGCATTTGGCTTCCCCATTCTCCAGTGGGGTAGACTTGGAAATATTTGTTGATTGACTCCATGGCTCATGTTGCTCTAGTAGTAGTCGTTTATTCGCACACACATTCAGTGAACATTTCAGCGCCTGGTGTGTGCCTGGTATTTGCTCAATGGTGGACACTGAGGAGATGAGGGGTGGTGCTGTCTCGGGGGAGCCCTCACTGTACACACAGACCTTTGGTGACCTGATCCACCTGCCCCATTTTACAGACGTGGCAATCAAAGTGCAGGGAAGTTATAGCATTAATTCGATCTCATACAGTCAGCCAGCCTGGAAGCCAGAGGGGTAAGACAAGTTTCCTGACTTGCTAGATTTTCTGTTCGTGTGCAGCTACTGGCTGCTGCACGTGCAGGTGTGGTGAGCTCCGACAGAAGAGAGAACACTCAGAATGAAGCAGGAGCCCCGAACACCCTGGATTAGCCAGAAGGAAACCCCTGGTCCAACTATGACTGCTGGGGACAGTTGCCTTCTCTTGTTTTCACTGTGAGATTGAAATGAGGAAAATTGAGCCCAGAAAACCAAGTGGAAGATTTCCCCCAGGGCATTGGTGAGATGGGCAAAAGAAGCCTGTGTTTGTGGCTCTCGTGCTGTGTCTCACTGAGCGGTACTGGGCTGGCTGTGGGTGGGGGTCCCTCTGTGGCCGGAGCTCTGTGAGGGCAGGGACCAGGTCTGATTCATCTCTGTCTCTCCAGCACACAGTACATAGCAGGCTCCGAGACACGTGTCTTAAAAAATAAAACTGAATTAAAAGTCTACACCTGTGCAGGTGTGGGATGGCCGAGCAGAAGCACAAGCAGGAAAAGTCAGTGTCCCCAGATCGGCTGGTGTGGGGTTTGGCTTTCTAAATGGGGTGTGGTGCCAAGGGGGAGTTGGGGTCCTGTGACTCTGCTGCTCTGGTGGGACACACTTAGAGTTCGGAGTGTCCCTGTGGTTGCTGCACTTCACTTGCCCATGGGAAAGTGACCGGAGCGTGTGGGGACTTCAGAGTCCTCCACGTGGGAGACACTGAGGCAAGATGGGGCTGGCGCACATGGTGGTTGTTTACCAAAATTTGAAGGTCGGTTGTAGGAGAAGGTATTAGACTCATTTTGGTGCCTACAGAGAGTAGGATGGGGATTGGTGAACATGTATCGGGCACATTTTGGCTCAGGATGAAAAAGAATTGTTGCAGTAGAGTAAGTTTTCTTAGAAATTTACAAGTTTACTGGCAGGGTTCAGGCGGGGGCTGGGTGTCTGAAGATACCTGTCAGAGTGATTTCTAAGGTTGCAAGGGCAGAGCTTGGCTTGGAACCCAGGTTTCCCTCTGATACTACGTATTAGTTGTTAGAAAAGCTGTCTTTTGAAATGCGACATCGCTGCTTGGTGCAGGCTGAGCTCCCTCTGACAGTACTTCCAGTCGTTGTGGGCGGATGTGATTCTCTTGTCTAGTCAGTGACTTGGCCTTCACCCCAGCCCCTCCCAGCTCCTTCACCCCAGCCCCTCCCAGCTCCTTCACCCCAGCCCCTCCCAGCTCCTTCACTCCAGCCCCTCCCAGCTCCTTCACTCCAGCCCCTCCCAGCTCCTCAGCCCCTCCCAGCTCCTTCACCCCAGCCCCTCCCAGCTCCTTCACCCCAGCCCCTCCCAGCTCCTTCACCCCAGCCCCTCCCAGCTCCTTCACCCTCAGCCCCTCCCAGCTCCTTCACCCCAGCCCCTCCCAGCTCCTTCACCCCAGCCCCTCCCAGCTCCTTCACTCCAGCCCCTCCCAGCTCCTTCACCCCAGCCCCTCCCAGCTCCTTCACCCCAGCCCCTCCCAGCTCCTTCACCCGAGAGACCCAGAGTTACGTGCACTTACCAATGATGGCCATACGGTGGGGCAGCAGCGCCCCACTGGTGTTCCCTAAAGCTCTACCCGGATGCGGGCATGTCCGAGAGGGCCTGTTAGGGTTAGGAAAAGGCACAAAGGAGGTGAATAGGTAGACATTTTTATTTTTCTTTCTCCTGTGAAGTGACAAAGTTGAGGTGAGTGTGAAATAAAAGAACTGGAAAACACTTTAGAGAAGCGCTTCGCAAACTCTAATGTGCTTATGCATCACCCAGAGCCTTTCCTTAAATACAGATTCTCATTGCGGAAGCATTTCTGGTGGGTGTTTGGACAATGCCCTTGCTGCGGGCTGGGGACCACACTTTGAGTTGCAAGACTTTAGGGTCACTTAGGTTAATTCTCCCTGCTCCTGATTTGTGGCTGAAGAGAGACAGAAGCCCAGAGAGAGCATATAACTTGCCTAACAGAGCCAGGACCTTAGTTTGCATTTAAACCCAGGGCTATGGCCTCTTCGTCCAGTTCTTGCTCCACTGCGTCATGTGGCCTCCTTTGCGTTGTGAGTGGCATCTCTTTAGCTTGGGAACCCAGGACCCTGTTTTCACCATCCCCCTGGTCTTGCTAAAGCTGTCGCGTTGGTTACTCCTTTACTCAAAACCTTCAGTGTCTCTTCTGTAATCACAAGATCAAGTTCAAATGTCACTGTCTAGTGTTCACCTCTCGATAACATATGGCCCCCTTTGGCAAGCTTACCTAACTTCCCTATTTTTTAATCCTCTCTTTCTGCCACAGCTCTCTCTCCCTGCTCCTTCCTGTCCCCTAAATGTGCTGCATTCAGTTCTGTCTTGGGGGTGGTGGTGCTGGGATGGGCCCTGGAGCTCGACAGTCCCAGTTTCTCACAGACCCACCACCAGCCTTGGCAGGTTCCTTCACCTTTCTGAAGATCAGCTTCCTCCTCTGAAATAATCTATATGTTGGTTGGGAGGAATGAATAAAATACCACGGAAACCCACTCTCCTTCCTGAGGGCCTCTTCAAAACTAGCATCTACGGTGCTGCCTGACACCTGGCTCCCCGGGCTCATAGTTTTCCTTTTCTCTGCTTTCCTGAGGCTTACCCAATCAGGGCCTGACCGGAATCCTGCCTCTTTCATGGAAACTTCCTCAGCCATTCCTGACCAAGTTGATCCCACCCTTCTATAAATCATCGCACCCGTGTGTTAGCATTTAGTCATGTGCCAGCCCTCTCAGTGAGACCCCATAGGGCAGTTTGAAGGATATTGGCTGTGTGATAATTGAAGGGTAATTGAGTTACTTCTTTGGTTAGTACTTCCTGAGTGTTGAAACTACCTTCTGTTTTTCTCAGCTGTTACCTAGCAGTAATTCCTCCTGCACCAGCTGCCCAGACCCTGGTGAGCACCTTAGGGATTGCTGTTGTCAGGGTCCTTCCTGCCTCTGGATTTTGATAAAATTGATATTTCCTTTTGTATGTTATCAGACAGCCCCTCTGAGGGAGGGAATGTTGAAATTGCTTTATGGAAACGCAGGATAATGACTAAGGAAGTTGAGCACAGTGTCTTATTGCTTCAACAGCCTGGTAGCAGGAGATGTGTACACTTTCCTGTTTCATGAAATTTATACCAGGGTATTTGCTCTCTTACTTCAGAAGAGATTAAGGACAAGAGACCAAGTGGGGAAGACAAGGCTATTTATTTTATTTATTATTATTTTTTGAGACTGAGTCTCACTCTGTTGCCCAGGCTACAGTGCCATGGTGTCAGTCTAGCTCACAGCAACCTCAAACTCCTGGGCTCAGG